GCTAGGATTGCCAGGCAGCAGCCAGGCATAGCATTTGTGTTGCTGGCTACTTCAGTGCCAAATCCTGGCAGGGGTGAGACAGGCAGGGGCTTCTGTGCTGGAGGAACAGCTGCTGTAGAGTATTTCTGGGGGTGAAAAATGAAAGCAACATTGCAGGAGGTTACCAGAAGCAGGATTTCTCATTCTATAATGGCGCAATCAGTTTCTGCAACAGTTTCTGTATAATCAGGCATCAACAAGCACTCTACTGCATCCAGGGACAAAGAACTGCTATGGCCCAACCTTTCACACCTGGGAGAGAAGTTCTAGCACTAGGCCCCTTAGGAAACTCTGTAAGCCATTACACTCAGCACAGGCCCCTGAACTCTGCTCACTCGCTCTGGAGAGCAAGGCCCAGGGCAGAGACAGTGATGAAACTACCACCGACACCAGCAGTGGGTTTTCCGGCACCCCCTAGGCACAGAGGCAAGCTCAGACAGGCAAACAGACGATAACAATTTTCAATAACTGACAAGGCTTGGATTCAAATGGGAGGCCAAGAGGTGAAAAGGACTCACGAGCTCACACGTCCCCTATCTGGAAGCTATTTGTCAAGTCCTGGAGAGAAATGCAAGGGCAAAGCCCAGCTGTGCTAAGGATGCGGAAATCTCACCCTGGAGCCATTAGCAGCCCAAAGCCCAGACCCCAGCGTACCAGGGGTCACACACTGGTCCTTGCTCACATGTGGCGAGTGCTCTCCTCCAGCCTCTGTGCAACCAGTATCAGCCCAAAGAATGCTTCAGTGCCGATCACCCCCAGTCCAACCAAAAAGCCAGCACTCAAATATTCAGCAGAAGGACTGCTGGGCTCAAAATTGCACAGCTAAGCCCAGATCAGAGATCACACTGTACTCAGGCCACTTTCAGTGTCAAGCCAAGAGAAAGTTCCACTGGCCTGTCATGCACCGAAACTACTCACCCACCAAAAGGATGCAGTGTCTGCACTGAGACATCTAAATGTTAGCACAGGATTTTTTTCCCCTCTTCTGTGCTGGCCTTTTTCATCCTAGCATCTCAAAGCATTTTAAATCATGCATTAAGCCTCCATAAGACAACAGTATTGATACTATCTACTCATACGTGCAGGCAAACCACGGCAGAAAGGTTTCACAACTTGCTCAGAACTACCTAGTGACTTTGTAGCTTAACTGCAAATATACCCATGTACCCAAACTCTCTGCCTTGTACTTTAAAATGATGCTTTCCTTACCAGCCACCCCACCCACACATAAATGAGGACAACTTAGATTGCTCGTCGTGCCAACTCAAAGCTGCTCTCCTCCAAGAGAGATCTCTTACGATCTCTCTCCCTGCAAATGCTACACTCTGACTTCAAGCTGCTGAAAGCAGATTTCAAAGGAGCTCCAGCCAGTCCCACTGAACAGCACAAGAGGATGGACCTTTTACTTCCTCAGTCTGTTTACACAAAGTGCCAAGACCAATTTGTCTCATCCCCAGGGAACAAGCTCAGCAGCTCCAAGCAGTCTTTGTGATACCCTGGACTTCCTTACACCTCAGCTGACCCTTGTGTCCTCTGGTGCCTTCACCTTAAGCCATCAAAGGATGTCCCTGCTCTCCCTGACGTCCTGCTCTCAGCATCGCCAAAAAAAGCCAGATCTGCTGAAGTTAACCGGGTGGCAGCAGCCACAGTCTTTGAGATGTGCACAGCCTTCATTAAATAGCAAGTGGCTGGCAGCAGGGCCTGCATGACGCAGCGTTGCTGTCCAAGGACCATGATCAAGGGGTGGCTGGGAGAGGGCATTCACTGCAGCAACGCGGGTGTCTGCACAAGCCAGGGTATTTCTGCCCAATTAGAGGAAAGAATGGAAGAAGTCTTCTGAGCTAATTTTCTAGCCCTTTGGAAGAGTGAAGAAAAGAGTGCATTGAATGGCCCCTGCTCAGTCTCAATAGGGAAGAGGCTGGGTGGCCAGCTGACCAGCCAGCCAGGGTGGGAAATGCACCCGCCAACCGTCCAAACTCACGGCTGGGGCACAAAAGGGCAGAATCACACTGCCCTGAGAAGCTGGAAAGGCATGGCCTGGCACCTAACCAGAGTGGGACTTTTTAAACCTGGTCCTGTGTGTGCAGCCTTTCCTGCAGAAGGAGGCTGAACTGAAAGGCCCAGATGATAGAGATTTCCATTCATCCACAGGCCATGAAGGTAGAAGCACAGCAATTCCCTAGCCTCTTGAAAGCACTCAGATTGCCCCCAACCCACTTGTCTCTTCCAGATTTGCTCCCCTTCCTTACCAAAGGGCAGCAAACACAGATAGACATTTGGACCCTGTGTGGCCTTCCTTCAAAAGCTGCCTTGTCTGTTCAAGTCTAAGAATAGCTTCAGCACCCCAACACAGAGCTGCTCCACACCACAATTCCCTGGACCAATGTCCCATCACCATCCAACATAAACAGGATTTGATGCAAAGGCAGAGCACTTGGCATCTCTTCATCCATTCTTGAGTAACCCACATCATGCACGCAAAAGTGTCTTCTTGTCTCAGAAGACATGAGCTTCTGGCACAAAGTAATCTTGCCCAATACTCTTCGTCATCTGTCAGCTGCACAGAGCGGCAAGAATGGGACAAGAGTGAAAGCCACATCTGCTGTTCAAAAAAACTTTCATCTGATCAAGCTTTTCAGCTGTATTCTGATGGGCAAGCACATGATGGGAAGGATAAGAAGTGCAAAACAAGAATAGCTTGACGCTCAGAGCTCAGATGAAGACTTAGAGTACCCAGTTTAATATTATCTTTCCTCATTTGCATTGTTTACCTGACTAAAAAACACACGATGCCAAGTGCTGCCCAGGTGGTTAATAAGAGGTTTTTTTGCTGGAGAATGAAAACAGACCAAGAAAGAAACGCCCCAGTCCCATTTCACAGGTGGGGAGTGGAGGTACTGAACGAGACTTGCCCAGCTTCATACAAGGATTTTGTGGCAGAACTCAAAACAAAACCCAGATTTCAGGTCACTGTCTTAAGAAATGAGACTGCTGATTTTAGCTAAGCTGATGGGAATCCAAATGTCAGTAGCAGACTGAATCTACAACACTGTTGTTATTTCTATAATGATTTTTATAGTGCAAACAAATACAGATAGCAAGCAAAAAGTCATCATAAAGCTTCATGATATTACTGGTTTAAAATTAACCAATTAGAGCTACAAAAATAATACAAATGACAAAACAGTTTCACAATATTCAGGCTGCATCTCACTTTGCATGTCCATCCCTGCACCACATAAAAGTACACTTCTAAATTAAAACCACTAGCAGAATATCCTTTCTTTATAACAGGGATTCCACAACCTGGAAGTGTTAATGACATCTAGAGTAAAAATGTTATTTAAAAAGCAACCCCCCACCTCCACTCCAGATTTCAACTTCTTTTGCAAAAATCTTTGCCAAAATTAATCCAGAAGTTCAGAGAGCAGATAGACCAGGAAGCAAATCATTCTCACAAGGCTTCCCTTCCAAACCACAACAGTTTGGAAAGCTTATTTAAATCAGTCCCCAACCTTCACTAACATACTCCCAAACACACTGCTGAAAGGAACTTCAGGCAGAGCAGGTAGGTGCTATGCCTGGGATCCAAGTCAGAGAAAGCATCTGGGCTAAAAGGAGTATTTCTCCATTTACTCACATGCACCCTGAAAAAAGGCAGCTGGACACAGACTTACCAGCTTTCTTCTCTTCTCATTAGGATGTGAGACTAATTAAAGTGTGTCAGTACCAGTAGAAGATTTGGGTGATGTGAAATGCAAGACTGGGCCTTTTGAATGTTCCATGAGCAGAAACTTGGCTAGAAGGGTGAAGAGGGGGTGAGGAAAACTGTACTGAAACTGCAAGTCTTTGCATTATGTATTCAGGGGATGTATGTCGCCAGCAGGACTGAGAACAAGCAGCAGTGTAATGCAGAAATGGAGGGTTCTCACTTTTATAGATCTTGGAGAATAAATACATAGTCCTTTCTTTCAGTGGCTCCACCTTGTAGGCTTAAAGGGAGTGTTGTCAGTAAGGTTAAAACTAGTACATCCAACCAACCAGAGGCAGTGAAATTCCTCCCTAATGAGAGGAAATTCAGAACTGAAAATAACTGTCTTTAACTTACTGCAATTTACCAGGGTCAGCAGATGTCTGTAGATACTCTTTCAAACTGTCACTACACCAGTGCAAGAAGAAAAACAAACAATGGCGAGCTGAAATACTAACTCTACAGCAACGCCTTCTGAAAGAGGCACCAGGCGGGCACTGCGCAGGGCAGGGCAGCCCACCCCACCAGTGCCAGGCATGGCCCATTGCCCAGCCTCCGCAGAGATGAGGCGAAGTCCCAGCATTTACACGCCTCAGTCCCAGGGCCCTGCAAAATCAAGAGTAACTGCATCTACAGCAAACTGTAAACAGTTTGTATTTATAGTGTGTTAAGAAGGTAAAAAGCACTGGTTTACATTGCTGTAAAACTCCTAGGAGGCATGAAGCAACCTGGGCCCAAGCAGGTCAACGAGTGTGGAAATACCTATCATCATTAAGTCTACAACCACTTTCATCACAAAGGTATTTCTTTATACACCCCACGGCAATTAATTTATTTTGTAGTAAATGGTATGGGGCAGATCATGGCAGCAGGGGTAACTTGGCAAAAGTGAACTCCAGTGATTTTGTTCCTGTGTCATGCAATGGGCCAGACAGCGTGGGTGCTGCCTTCCTAATGGGGGTAGCAAGAGAACAGCCCAACTGCAGCAAGAGCCACTCGAGTAGCAGCGGCTCTGCCTCTCAAGAGAGGGATCTACACCTAGGCCTAGTTCATCCCAGACAGCAGAAATACTAATTACACCCCTGCAGACGTGATCACAAGAAGCAACTCCATGAATTTACTGAACCCTGCCTGAAAACTCTTTTCCGTCTCTGCTTACACCACCTTCTCTCAAGTGATGCTGCTCTCCTCATATGAAGTTCTGCCTTACCTGCTGCATTTTTTCCAGGTCAAGGCTGGGCCTGCTGACCTTATCCCCGTATCCTTGTCGATGTCTCTTACAAGGCATGACTTGCTCAAGGCCTGCCCCGACACTGGTGAAGATCAAAGGTCTGGAGGCTGTGCTCCGCACCAGAGGCTGGAGTCTCTTGGGAGGGGAGGCACTGAACAGCACGGGGCTTGGGCTGGCGAGGCCATCGGCCTGTTCTGCCACAGGCCGGAAGGACATGGCACACAAGTTCTTCACTTCTTCGTCACTGGAGGAGGTGTTGTTGCTGTCGCTGCAGCAGGCAAGCCTGCTGACCTGGGACCACTTGCGCTTCTCAGCAGCGAACTCTCGGTTGATGCGCTCCAGCTCCTCTTCTGAGCTGTGGCGGTCAAGGCTGGCATGGAAGAGGGCCCGAACCTTGCAGCATTGGTTCTCCTGGTTCTGGAGTTGGTTGGTGGCCAGAGGGGTCAAGGTACAATTCCGTCTTCTCTCTGGTGGGAGGAGGAGATAGAGGAGTGGCAGGACAGATCTGTGTCCCATGCCCTAATAAAGTGGGCCTGCTTTCTCCCGACTCGTTTTTTCAATCTCCTTCCAAGTAAACTTCTGAGCTGTTTTCCCACCTTTTCTTGCCCAGAAGAAACACACTCTGGCTGAATGCTTCTCTTTGGAAGTTTCCAGATCTTTGGTTAGACCAGACTGCTAGAAATACCCTCACAAATTGTCACCTGGAGGTCTAGCTGCAGAGCAAGAACATGGACCTGCTGCCCACCTCATCCCCTGAACGTGGAGAAGGCATGATCTTACCAATGTCTTGCTAGGCACTTGCCTCTAGCTAGAAGCATTAAGTTCTAATGACCAGTTCTCAGGGCAGAGGAAGCAAGTTCCATTATTCTAAGGCAAGTTCCATTATTATTTGAGTCTGTGGCTCAAATAATAGAGATCTAGTCTCCGAAGTAAATGTCCTCCTTCTGTTACAAGGCTTGTCATACAAGAGAGCCTGCCTTCAGCCATACGCTGGGCACGCTCTACCTGTTCTGCTGAGCTCTATGTTAAGCATGTGGAGCAGGGATTTGATTTCAACAGGACATGTCCTGTGGGTCAGGAATTTAACTTCTGCCTTTGCATAAAAATCCACTTGAATTTGGCTAAACAACATGCACAAATGGCAGAGCCTCAGCACAGCTCAACAGCTGCATTTACTACCAATTTCACCTGCAGCTGTAAACTGCTTTGTACCAGGTCCAAAAAAAATAGCAGAGCACCTGTCTCTCCTCTGTCAAAGACTCTCAGCTAGATTCAAGAATAGGGCTGCCCAATAGCAACGGTACAGGAGGAAAGGAGCGAGCTAATCAGACAATGAGTCCAGGGCAATGAGGAAAGTGAAGGTCAAAATTTGAAATGGCAAGGAAGAGGAAACCTAGAACAAAAATGACACAGCTGCACAAGCATGGAATAGAAGATAAATTTTTAGTCCCAGCTCTGCTGCTGGCCAAGTTGTAAACCTTCTCTGCCCCACATCTGCAGCACTGGGACCTTACCATATGGTTAACAATGTCAGAAAAGTGCAACTGCAGCATCTGCAGCTTCTTCCTGTGAGGCCCCAAAGACTTCAAGGTGACTGACTTAATGCATCTGGTTCTGGCATGTTGGGGACAGAGAAGGAGGCACTTCCAAAAGCACAAGTGAAAAGCAAAATAGACTTCAGCTGTAGCATCCCAGGACCCTCCTATCTCATCTCTTTACCTCTGTCGATCTGAGCAAGTTCCTGGTTCTCTCCCTCAGAGTCGTCGCTGTCCTCATCACTTGGGGGGTAGGAGATCTAGCGGGCAAAGAGAAAGAAAAGACTTCATCGTGAACACTGAACATTGATTGCCCTGCTGCTGCCCAAGCCACTTCCCCCACCCTCCCCCTCTTATATCCTGCAGGCCTCCACCCTACCCAACCGCACACACCCAGCCTTAGCACCTCCCTGTATACACATCCTCATCTCCCAACCTCAAACTCCCACCGTATCCTCTTATTTGTCACAACACAAAACACACAGTCTACCGCTATTTCCACCTTACTGGACCACCAACTCTTGCCCAAGCACAATGCCCTTAGCCCCCCAGACATGCAGTTTATAAGCACCATGGCCTACCACATCCACATCACGTGGACAACTGAATCTCCAAAACTCACCACTGAAATAGACACATCCTGTCAACAGCACTGTCACCTTGCAAGGCACCCACAAATGGAAGTGGCATGTCGACTTTAGCCATCCTATGTATGTACCCGCACTTCCCCCTTGAAGGCACACACACAAGCACCACCAAAGAACAGACTCGTCTTGCTTTCTTATAGGACAGCTCTGAAGAATGTAATAGAAATAGAAGAAACAGGATTTCACAGAAATGCAAACAATAACATCATGCTGTTCCCAACAGCACAGAATCTCACAGTACCACTAAACACCCTTAAATGCTCCAAGAGTAATGACAATTCACATATTTTGTCTGTCAGGAATTTTCAGGAACATGTGCTCTGGGTCAGCCAAGAGACTTCATCAAACCATTTGCTGTATACCCAAATACCCACTTACTCAGAACATGTTCTAACACTGAACAAACTTGGTAGTTGCCTCTTGAGAAGGGTTGAGAGATTTGAAACCAAGCTTTTGTAGTTCAGATAGACCATTGCTTCTGAGTTTCCTACATAGTGGAAACTCTACCTGTCTTGTTCCTGAAGTGACTTCTGTTCTGCTGCATAGAGCATACCTGGAAGTTATTACATCAAACCTCTGAGCTATGCAGGTTAGTACGTGTCTCTGGTAAAGGCCAAAACCAAATGAGTCAAAGGAAAATGCAATAATTCAGAAGGAACCTTTGTAAGGGACAGCTCTGGAATAACACAATCACTGGAAGCTAAGCTTTATTATTATTCCTTACACCTGTTTCTTCAGAACAACAAGCATTCCAATCATTCTCAGCTGAGTCTCACAAGCTACTTGCCCACAGCAGAATCCAGTGGCAATGGGTTTCAAAAGGTTACATGCTATGTTTCCATTTTAGAATCACAGAATCACACAGAATCACAGATTAGTAGGGGTTGGAAGGGACCTCTGTGGGTCATCTAGTCCAACCCTCCTGCCGAAGCAGGGTCACCTACAGCAGGCTGCACAGGACCTTGTCCAGGCGGGTCTTGAATATCTCCAGAGAAGGAGACTCCACAACCTCCCTGGGCAGCCTGTTCCCGTGCTCCGTCACCCTCAGAGAGAAGAAGTTCCTCCTCATGTTCAGACGGAACTTCCTGTGCCTCAGTTTGTGCCCATTGCCCCTTGTCCTGTCGCTGGGCACCACTGAAAAGAGCTTGGCCCCATCCTCCTGACACCCACCCTTCAGATATTTGTAGGCATTTATAAGGTCCCCTCGCAGCCTTCTCTTCTTCAGGCTGAACAAGCCCAGTTCCCTCAACCTCTCCTCGTAGTGGAGATGCTCCAGTCCCCTCACCATCCTTGTAGCCCTCCGCTGGACTCTCTCCAGTAGCTCTTCATCCTTCTTGAACTGGGGAGCCCAGAACTGGACACAGTACTCCAGATGAGGCCTCACCAGGGCAGTGTAGAGGGGAAGGAGAACCTCCCTTGTCCTGCTGGCCACACTCTTCTTGATGCACCCCAGGATCCCATTGGCCTTCTTGGCAGCCAGGGCACACTGCTGGCTCATAGTTAACCTGTCGTCCACCAGGACACCCAGGTCCCTCTCTGCTCTCCAGCAGGTCCACCCCAAGCCTGTACTGGTGCATGAGGTTGTTCCTCCCCAGGTGCAGGACCCTGCACTTGCCCTTGTTGAACCTCATCAGGTTCCTCTCTGCCCAGCTTTCCAGCCTATCCAGGTCACGCTGAATGGCAGCACAGCCTTCTGGTGTATCTACCACACCTCCCAGTTTGGTGTCGTCAGCAAACTTGCTGAGGGTACATTCTAACTCTTCATCCAGGTCGTTGATGAAGAAGTTAAACAAGACTGGGCCCAGTACTGACCCCTGGGGTCACCACTAGTTACCGACCTCCAACTAGACTCAGCGCCGCTGATGACAACCCTCTGAGTTCTGCCATTCAGCCAGTTCTCAATCCACTTCACCGACCACTCATCTAGGCCACACTTCCTGAGCTTCCCTAGGAGGATATCATGGGAGACTGTGTCGAAAGCCTTGCTGAAGTCAAGGTAGATAACATCCACAGCTCTCCCTTCGTCTACCCAGCCAGTCATGTCATCATAGAAAGCTATCAGGTTGGTCAGGCATGATTTCCCCTTGGTGAATCCATGCTGACTACTCCTGATAACCTTCTTTTCTTCCACTTGCTTGATGATGGCCTCCAGGATAAGCTGCTCCATCACCTTTCCCGGGACGGAGGTGAGGCTTAGTGGCCTGTAGTTCCCTGGGTCCTCCTTCTTGCCCTTTTTGAAGATTGGAGTGACATTGGCCTTTCTCCAGTCCTCGGGCACCTCTCCTGTCCTCCAGGACCTCTCAAAGATGATGGAGAGTGGCTCAGCAATGACATCCGCCAGCTCCCTCAGCACTCGTGGGTGCATTCCGTCGGGGCCCATGGATTTGTGGACATCCAGATCGCTTAAGCGATCCCTCACACAGTCCTCCTCGACCAAGGGAAAGTCGTCTTCTCTGTAGGCTTCTTCTCTTACCTCCGTGGCCTGGGATTCCTGAGGGCCAGTCTTAGCACTGAAGACTGAAGCAAAGAAGGCATTCAGTAGCTCTGCCTTCTCCGCATCCTCTGATGTGCTGATGTGCTGCGCTTGACTTTTCTAGCAGATGATGCAGCATGCAACCATTACACGGACCCATTTCACCTCCACCACTGTTCCCAGGGAAACATCCTTGCAGTGTTTCAACCTCCCAGAGACCCAAAAGAGTAACAACACTTAACTGGGTGCCTATGAAAGACACATACAGCTGATGTGGAGAAGCAGAAATAGTGGGGAAATTCTGACTGATACTGAATTTGACAGCTATTAAGTCAACACACCTATTTTGTGACCATCCTCCAGCATTGGGTTTGGGGGTTTTGTTCCCCCAAAAGCCTGTTGCCACCTTTTTTTCCTCCTCCTTTTTTAAAGCTACATTTTGGCCTTCTATATTTACATTGCCCTTTAAGAAATCAGAAAATATTTTCCTTCCTTGCTAGTCGTTAAACTACTTTCCCAATTATCAAATGATGAATGGGGAAAGTGGCACAGATTTATCTCCATTGCTGATATACTTGAAGTAAATGTAGGGGGTTGTTTTTCCCACCGCAACTACAATTTTCTTGTATGTATTCACACACATGCGTCATTTAATAAAGGCAGCTGGCACTGAGGAACACTGCCAAATTAACAGACTTCTAGTTGTCCCCAGAACAGGTATAATACCTTGTTTGTGCCACAGTAGTTCATAGAGGGGACAGCTGACACTGAGGTGCCATTGTGCTAGCTGCTGTACAGACAGACAGTGGTCCTGTCTTCATTACAAAAGCTAAGGCTTCTAACTCGAGAGGTACTGACCTTAGTCTGTGGCTCATTCCCACATAAAAACCTTTCACTGGGGCATGGCAGGGTTTTCAGTGATGTTTAACAGCTCTGTGTGGGAAACCTATCAGCTCCAGTCATTGCACTACGTAAATGTCAATACATGGCATGGTGCTGCTTCCAAACAAGAGGCAATGACATCTAGTACATGCAGGTTAAAGAGCTACTGCACAATGTCACTGGCTTGAGATGCTTAAGATAGGAGTTGGATTTGAGTCAATGATTGATGTTTTGAAGGTGTTTGTGTCTACTGGTCCTGAGCTTCCAGAACATTCACTCCTCCCCATACAAATACAATTCTGCTAGTTTCTTGTCTCATACAGATAACTCGCCTCTGCTAAATCTTCCCCATTCCCACAGGCAGTGCAAGACTAACACCCTCTGAGTTGCCTTGAACACTTCTCTAGAGGCTTTGTTCAGAGCACCTGAGAGAGAAGAGAAACCTCTTTCAAACAAGATGATGCTGAGTCTGTAGATTTGGTCCCACAGTATAGCCCAAAGAAATTAAAGTGGTAGGACAATATAAAAGGCTTCATGGAAAAAAGGGGCTCCCACAGTCTTGCTAATCACCCTCCTGATGCTAGCCATGGAAGGGTAAGCACCCGCTCTTCTATAACTAACCACAAGTTTTATGAGCAACCTTTCAAGTGCTGTTCAGAATCAAGGCAATTAGAAACACCTATTGAGCCACTCTTGCTAACACCCCCCTTTTCTTTTGGAGGAAGAGCACACCAGTAGCACATTTCTCCCAACATTCAGACTTGATTTCTCCCATTATTCCCACTTGTTTATTATAGACTTGTTCTAGACAACACTGTCAGAAACAAGAATATTTTCACAATATACATCATAGGAGAACTGTAAAAACAGCTTAAAATCCAGCAACTGTGCCTCTTATGCATGAAGTAAAGAAATAATACAACTCAGAAGTCATATTGCCTCTGATGTCCCATGACCTGCACTGTCTTTCGTAAGTCCTCTCATCTCTGATTTTGTGTGAATTACCCTCCTGCTTAGTCTTCACATCTTTCAGAGATATCATTTTCCCCCCATTTATCATCTAGAAAGATCTTCTACTTCAGTATTGTTACATTCTGTTTTTATTAGTAAATAGTTCCATAAATTATATGCTCGTTTTGGAAACTGATGTCTCCCAAGCTCCTACATATGAGACCCTAGCTCCCATGTTCCAACCCTAAGAGAAAACCAGCATTCATAGCAGACTAACCATTAACCTCGCAGAGCTCAAATTCTATAC